GTATATATATATACTAATATATACCATCTAATTAGTGACGCGCTTGAAAGGATTAACGAGATTCCCACTGTTCTTATCTAGCGAAACCACAGCCAAGGGAATGGGCTTGGAAAAATCAGCGTGGAAAGAAGACCCTGTTGAGCTTGACTTTTACTTAACTCACACTTATCACTGTATTCTTTTAGAAGTAAGTAATGATACACAGACACACACACATCTCCTAAACAGAAACTTTGATTTTGGTTGGAAGCCCCAGTTAGTATTAAAAATTTATTAATGTTCCTTTATAGTTATCTTAAAGATCATATACATACAATGTACTATAGCAGAAATATTTTATATAATATGTAAAGATCACTGTAGGAATACACTGTGAATGTATTGTTGAAACTTGTAAAATCGAGAAAGTACAAAATAAAAAATATTCTTATGGAAAATGGGCTCATTTTTATACACGTTTTTCTCAGGTGTTAGAAAACCTGTTATATACAGTTAAAAATTGAAATGTAAACTCCTCATTTTGTTCATTTTACAGTTTCTGTTCCTTTTGAGTGTAAAATAGAAGATCCAAAGTTAACTTCAGTAACTGAGAGCAAAGAAAATATTTCCTGTGTCATGCAAGTCACCAGTTGTGAAGTTGTTACACAAGAACCAGTCACAACTGTAGCCAAACCTAATCAAAGGATAAAAGGGGGAAACCAGAAGGGTAGTACTTTTATTTTGTAGTTTAATGTGATAATAGTGTGCTTGTTTACTAATTACTTTAATATATAAATATAACCTCTAATCTGTTGACATTGTAGAATGAATGGAAACACAGAAGTTAGAGAGTACTGAGCTCAAGTTTAACTTTACTGTGATGGTACAGTATTCATTATTAAAACCACAAGTACCTATATGTGTGTGTAGATGACTTCATTTGGAAGAAAATTCCTTAATGTCAGAATAGATGCATTAATTCACTTAACCCTCAAATTACTGATTTGTTTACATTTCACCCACTTCTTTTGTTGCTCATCCATTTGCATCATACTGAGAAATTTGTTTACCTTTTACATTGTCTAATATAAATAGCAGACTAAAAAAAAACTTGGATGAAATCACTGATTTTCTAGGCAAGATACATAAAAATTGAAGGCAGTAATTAGTGAAATTAATTACAATATTGATATTATTTGTGGTTACATTTTCTGTGTGACTTGTATGTTATTAGTGACCCTGTAACCAACAAAGTTGTGGACCCACAAGCAGTTTGGTACATAAATATTTTAGAAAAATGTATTGAAAAATCTGTGCATTAGTAATTCATAATTTTATTGATACTCTACTATACTTCTAACACTAACCATAGAAAAAACAAGTGTATCTCTATGCTGCTTACTAAAACTAAGCTGTTCGGTTTAAGAAAAGATCCGTTTTACTTAACTCACACTTATCACTGTATTCTTTTAGAAGTAAGTAATGATATCCAACTCTTCACTAAGGAAGAAGAATACAGTACTGTCACGTGAAAGAGGGTCATAACTACAGGGTCACCACTGAAATTTTTTGAATTTTAGTAACACTGTAAAACTAACACTCTAATTTGCTGAGAATTAAAAAAAGTTGAAGAATCAGGAAAGAATTGAACAACTAAAATCATTGAATAACTTATACTTAAGAGGAAGTAAACAGACTGAATAATCACAGAAAAATGAGACCAGCAGTTCATGAATTGACCAAATGATTGATTCAAACTGCTTTTACAGTTTAAGAAAAAAACAGTAATTTTTTCCCCATATCTTCTAGCCTGTTCCAAGATTGCTATTATTAATTAATGCTTAGCAAACATGAGAAGTAAACTAGTTCTTGGTTAGACCTGTGATAAAAAGCTCACTAAACTGTAGACGTTTTTTTCTATGTTGCTCTTTATTACTTCTTCACAGATTTCAGATCAAAAGGCGGTAAAAGATAATTTTTTTTCTTTCTTTTTTTTTTCTCATCGTCCCCTCAATATTTTTTATTTTTTGTGAATTCTTAATTTCAAACTTCAATATGCCTTCCCTTGTTGATTTTCTAGGTGAGTTTCTTTTGGGTGAAAGTTAAGTTACATGAATATATATATATATATATATGGTCATTTAACCATTTTGCATCAGGCTCGTAAAGTTTGTGAAATTGAGTCGCAAATTTCACTTGTACAACAATACATATGGTAACTTTATAATTTATTAACATGTCCCCTCAAAAACTGGTAAGATTTTGTTAAAGATCATAAGTAACTTGTACACAGAGAATGCAATTATTATAATTAAGTGTTTTTATTAAAAATGTTACATATTTATTGTAGTTACTTGCACTTAAACTCTTAACAAATTGTTCACAAAGTCAGTTTTATTTTAAGTATAAAAATACTTTTCTTCATCTAATAGTTTTCATATTTCATTTGCATAATAAAGAATATCAAAAGTTTTTGAAGGTAAAAGTTTATATTTTATTTTTCATTTTCTTTACCATATCACTAACTCTAGCTATTATCATCAACATACAGTGCAAATAAATAATTAAAATTAGGAAACAAAAAAATACTTACCTTTTAATTTTTTGTAGAATATATTTTAAAGATTTTCCTTTTGTTAAATTCCTAATTTTAGGTCTTTCTCTTTTCACTTATGTATTAATTTGTAATGTTTTATTTTCCTTTCTTGTCCTTTACCACTTATTATTCATCTCACTACAAGTCAATGGTACCCTCGAGACATATTACAGTGTATCTTGCAGACATGCCCAACCCTTTGGTAAAATTTTCGTGCACCACGTAATATCAGTAGCCTTGAGAACTAATGCAAAGTATGATGTATATTTAGAAAATATCTAAACCTTTCAATTATGCATTTTAAAACACAAATAATACATAATTAACTAAAATATAAAAGTAAGATCTAAATACAATTTAACTATCTCTAATTAACATATTTAGGAAAAAAACAACCATAAATGCTATAGTCAATCAAGTAGCCAACAATACTACATGTACTTTGTGATGAAAACTGCATGCCAATTTCAAAATAACCATTGTTGAATTATAGTGTAAAATGAACTCTTTCTAATGACTATATACATGTGTATGTAACATCTACATGTATGCTACAAAGCTGAAACAAAGATGTTGAAAGTGGGCATGTCAGTTGTCAGGGGTTGAAAAAATTTATTACTTATTTCAACTGTATTCATTCAAAGATCTTTGAAGGGTACAAGTCAAAAAGTTATGTAAGCATATAAGAGTCTAGATGTTCATCTGTGCAACTACCATTGTATTATTGAAGATATAGAATGCCAAAGTGGAGAATTTTCATAGATCGTTGGTTATGTGACAATACATATGAAGTTTTAGGTAGTTTTTTAAAGGTTTCCTTTGAAATAAAGGATTTCAAACTTTGAATAATAACATACATTACAATATTAATTTCATTAACATATATTACAATATTAATTTCATTAACATACATTACAATGTTAATTAACATTCAGTAATAATTTTATTTAGAGTTTGTATGATAAAATCATTTAACCAAATACTACAAAACAGTTGCTCAAAAACATACTCTTTTAAGGTCATATTAAAAAATAATTTTGTTTCTTCAAACATTTGTTTTTGATTTTTAATGCGTTGCTCAGATTTTCTTTCAAAAGCTTATTTCTCAGTTTTCTTTATATCTTATTAAACTATTCATATTTAAAAAAAAATAGTGTCTGTATCTGTTACGTTAAGTTTAATAGTTCTTTATATGTAATTTTCACTGAATGATCATTGATCATTTTTTTATTCTGGGATGCTAAAGTACTGATGGTTGTAGCAAATAATCACAATTTTAGATGATATTTTTGTGTTTCTGTTAAGTGAATGAGCAAGTTTTTGTTTACAGTTTTGATTGAAAATTTAATTTGTTTAAACCCTGGAATGTTTATGAAACATTTATTTTGTTATTTTAACAAGTTTATAATAATTGGATGTATTATTAGGTGTTTTTACAAGATTAGGATTATGATGAGTTTGGTTGCAGATAGCTTATACTTTGCTTAGCTAATTTGATTAGGTCACTGAACATTTATCTCAAGTTTCTTACTTTTCCTTCTCCTGGCATAATAAAAGTAGTACTTAACTATGTGTCTTGTGTAATCTTAGACTCGATTTCAGCCAGAAATTTAAGTTTTTTTTTTATACTTTATTGTTCTTGTTGATCTATTTGGCTTTCACTCGATGCCAAGGAAAAACACTAGGAAAAATTGGCAGTACTTGGTGTATTTTGTTTATTTATCTATATATGAAAACAATTTTGTTTTTAAATTTTGTTAAGGATGACTTAATTGGGTAAATACAGTGAACATTTAGTAATTTTCAGGATTTGCCTGGTTAGACACGCATTCCTGTATAAAAGAAAATCACCATAAAGTAGAAAATAGAAAGCATATTCAGTTACACACTTCTATAATATGTTGTTACATTACACATAGTATTAAGTGAGAAAAGTTATCCATCTTGTGAATATTTGTAAGTTTGGCATAAAAATATAATTATTTCATTAAAATGCTAATATTAATTTTAAAAACTGTTATAAAAGGAAAGTTGAGGATGCTATTCTTTATTTGAATTTTTTGAGCAATTTTCATATAATCAATCAACTGCTTTGATGACCAGTGTTTTCTCATTGTGTATTTTGAATCAAAGTGATGGAATTGTTCAACCTGTAAAACCTGATTTGGAGATAAAGCTAATGCATTCTGTGTAAAGGTAATGCAATGAATTAGTGCTAAGAGAAGCAACAAATATGTCTTGCTTGTAAATTTAGTAAGAAACCAAATTTAGTACCGTTATAATGAAAAGTAATTGTAATAAAATATATATATATACATATCATCAGGGGTTTTAATTTTCTTTTTGTATAATAGGCAAGTAAATAGCAAACAATTGTTAAAGATTGATTTAACTGAAGATGAACTATATAAGTACAATGATTTTTTGCCATAAAGTGTTTTAAGTGCAATTTTGTTTCAAAAGAAACAACTAATGTTTAGTTAAAAATTTTCTTATACTTACACTGTTTGAAATTTTATTTTTTTTTTATATATATATATACACAGGAAGGAATGAACAGCTAGCTGAATTTAAAAGGTTTAGTTCGGATTTCAGAGTAAGGATTTTAAAATTATTATGTTATCTTAGAGCAATCTATGTCTAGAATCAATATCTTGTAATCAAATGGCTAATAACAAGTATTTGCCATTTGTAAGTTTATACTAAAATTAGTTCTAGAGACTAAGTACAAAATCTATTTATGTTTATTAGATGGTAATAAGTATTTCTTTGTGTGAAATAGGCTATGAACATTAATTTATGAACTGTTTGTTATGAAAACTAATTTTAGTAAAGAATAAGTATTTATATACTATTAGTAGTCAATGAACATTTATTTTTAGTCAAAAAGCTACTGGTATTTCAGTATAGTTAGTATACTGTACCATTAACTTCTAATATTTCTGGGTGCTAGGATACTAAAATTTATTTCTGTTTAGAAGTTCTCAATTTTTTATAAATTTTTATGTTTGTTCATAATGTTTAACTTATATAAAACCTTTTGGTGTAAACTTTCAGCATTTTGTGTGTGTGTGTATCCATTGAAACAAAATGTATGCCACAATCTACATCCTAGTTTTTATTTTGGTAGATTAAATGTGTGAAAATTATAAGGTCATAATATCTCATTTCAAAGATTTTTGAAAGTTGTGTTTGTTATAATCCAGTTACAATAGTTTCACAGTTAAAAAAAAACAACTAGTTTTTAGATTTATCATTATTTGTAGAGTTAAGTGTCAAAATAGTCATAGTTAATTTTTTGTACCTTCAAAATTCTTGTTGTAGCTCATGGAAGAGCCTAAAGAACAAAGAGAACAACATAAAGACTTTATGCAGCCAAAAACTGAGTCAGTTGCTGCTCTCCAAGAATCAAAGAATATCAATAAAGACACAAATGAGAAAGGAAGTGAAAAACGAATAGAAATGGGAAAGAACATACCAGTAGCTGACATAGGAACACCCACTGCACCAGATAGTGCCGCAGAAAAATTATATTTCAATCCTAATGAAAGAGAGTTTACGCTTAATCCAAATGCAAAGTCTTTCACACCAGTAAGCTTCATATTTAAACCATTAGATTTGATAATTTTGTTATTTATAGAAAGAAGGGCAGTAATGTAACAGTCCTTCTCAGCAATGATCTTGTATGGAAATGTAGCTCAGTATAGAAGAATATTGTGATAAGCATATTTATAACTAAAGAACTACATATATATTTATTTTATTTTTTCAATAACATTTCTGAAATAGAAT